TTTATTTTAAAACTTTTCAAGCTAACGCTGAACCTGTCTTGAAGCCTAAAATTATTAGTGTGCGTTGTGATAATGGTTGGAATTTTGTCACGATAAATTTTCAAAATATTTAAATGATCAGGGCATTAGTTGTGAGAAAACAAATATTTATTCACCGAGCAAAATGCACTCGGCTAAAAATTTCCAACAGAAACTACTTCGCATGTGCGTTTCGTATGGGAGAAAACCGGAAAACTCCCTGACTGTTGATGCGTGACGATTATCAAGCTGCCGCATTCCTCAGAATTGTTTTTGCTCCAGGGTTAACCTTGTTTTTCCTGCTGTTAAAAAACTTAAAAATGAATGAAAATTATTTATAAAGAACTTTCAACAGTATAGGAAAGAAAAAGTAGGAATTGACTTTAAAATTTTTTTTTTTTTTTTGTTTGTATTACTTGTTTGTTTTTAATCTGAGAATTATATTTCCGTGCATTTTTCCAGCTCCAGTGACAATTTTGATTTGTTATTATTTTCATTACTGCAGTACCTCTTTGACATATTGCAATCTGTTTCAAAAATGGGTTATAAGTTAAAAATATGTAAACATTATTAGAAATAACTTCTAATACACATCTTCTTACATAACTTTAACTTAAACGGTGTGAATAACATTAATCTTTATTCCTTTTACAACATTTTATCAAACAGATTTTTAACTCGGGGTGGTGTGACTCGCGTCCGTAGCCTCTCTTTTCAAGCTACACGTGCCCCCTGGGTAATGCTGAATGAGTCACAGCGGTGCAGCCCTTGCTGATGGCATAAAGATGAACTGTCCCTGTATTGCCAACTGCATTAAAAGGGGAAAAAACATTCGAATATTTTGCTTTTTCTTCAATTCCTTCTATTAGCTGACACTCTCCCTATCTATATCTTGTTCACATTTTCAATCGCTCAATAAATACTTCTTATTCATCCACTCCAGTTCAAATACATATTTTTTTAACTTGTAGTGGATGAAACTGAATGCTAATGCAGTTTCTACAAATATTCATTTAGTAATTAAATTAAATTCATTAATTTTAGTTTTTTAGATTTAATAGCCAATAGATGGCGCCAAAATGAATGGAAATTATTTATAAAGGACTTTCTACAATACAGTGAAAAAAAAAAAGTAGGAATTGACTTTAAATTTTTTTTTCTATTTTATATTAATTATTTTCAGGAAGAGGAAAGATCATCAGGTTTTTTTTTCTTTGGGAGAAGCAGGGGTTACAGTGTTCAGAATCGGTACATGAAACAATAGCACAATTTGTATGAAACTTGTAAATAAAATTCCTTAGAAATCGGCTATTGATTAAAAAAGATGGAAATTATTCTGTTTAATAATAAAAGTAGGTGGCATTAGAGCGAAGGATATTTCGATTGCGTTGAATTTAGTTTGTAACAAAAAAGCGTCCATGGTGCAGCCTTGTCGATCAAGAAAAGTATCACAGTTTTTTTTATTATTATTTATAACATACATCTCCTTTAGTTCAATTGAATGAACGAGTTTCATTTCTTGGAAATAAGCTAATGAACCACTGGAGTATGATTGCGAAATACCGCCAATTTGGCGGTGAACAATCTATGTTTACTTTCGCACAGCAGTCATGCGATGTATTCGTCCTGTTAGAAATGCAAGGAACCGACCAACTGTTCTTAGGCTCGGCGAGAGATAAAAAAAAAAAAGTCTTCTTTCAAGTTTTCAGCTTAAAATAGAGTCTTTATCCTTCACTAACATTCTTTATCATTACTAACATCCTTCATTAACTATCTTCAAATAAATATACAGGGTGATTATAATGAAAGTCCCGCTTTCAAAATGCTTTAAAAAAAAGAACCACTCGTCAAATGAGTTCTCATTTGAACTGAAGATATTTGAAGAAGGGTATGGCATCAAAAAAAGTTCCCAAAGTGTATGAATAGAGGCGCTGTAAGCGGCCTAACGAAAGTGAATTCCGCTGCCAGCGATGTTTTGAATAGGAATGGCAACGTGTTTGGCACGAGTTGCACCAACGGTAGTGCTCGATCGATTTGGTTTTGGACGGAAAAAATGACACCAAGTCATTTTGTGGTATGATAATGTGAGTGGAAAGCCCATCCACCACGGCCAAGGTCATATCAAACTGGATTGGAAAAATTGGTGGAACTATTTTTTGGAACTTTTCTGTTGCCACTCTTCAAGTATCTTCAGTTCAAGTTTGAACTCATTGTGACGGGGGTTCTTTTTCGACAGCATTTTGAAAGCGGGACTTTCATTTTAATCATCCTGTATATATATAAATAAATGGGGAAAAAACGTGGTTTAAGACGTGGTGTGATATGTGGTCGTTAAGATAGTATAATATACTGTAGGAAGAGGGTCCTTCGCTACCTTCTGAAGCCGTTTAAGAAGCTGAAGAGTTAATTTCCTGTTTTTAAATAATAGATAAAAAAACATTGTGGAAATATTCATTCATTTTTTCTTCAACACGATTGTAAACGTATTCAATAATTAAAACATTTAAAATGAATTAAAATTCAGAAAATTTCTGAAATAGTTTCTAAAAATAAAAATCACTTACTTACGTATGTTATGTGAAATTGTGAAATGCATTTAATAACTGAAATCATAATTTTTGAAAAATCATTCAATTAATTCAGTAGTTTACTCAAAACAAATGTATCATAAAAAAAATAATTAAAAAAACATTTAATTCTCTAATCGCGGTCAAATATTTTTTAAAATATATATTTTTATTAAAAAAAAAAAAAGTTTTATAAGCACACGTTTTTTTTGCCAATGAAGCGATACGGCGCCAGATGTGGAGAGCGTGTTCGCGGGAGCGAGGAGATGCCGATAGAGACATCACGAGCCACTCGAAGAGCGCCCTCCTCAATGGTCGCCAAAGCGGACCAATAGCGGACCACCGCGCATACCGTGAGCTCAATTATTATTTTCCATCCCCCTCCCGACCTCCCTTCCACCGGGGGTCGGCCCGTGAGGTCAATTAAAACATCCCGAAGACACACTTTTTTATTTTTTATCGTTTTTCATTCTGGTTTTTTTTTTTATTCTTCTTTCTCTCGTTCCTCCCTCGTTTCTTTTTCTTTTTTTTTTTTCAATCGGCTTTCAAGTGGTTTTTACCTCTCCCCACCTCTTTCTGGCGTTTTTTTTTTTTTTTCTTTTCTTCTTCTTCGGGCCACTTCAAGAAGATTGAAACATTTTCCACTCAATCTCTTCAGAGAAACCTGTTTGGATAATTCCCCCCTCTAAACGCGTGTTCCTCCATTCAGATGTTTCATTGCTGTTTTTTTTTTTTTCAATGCTTTCCTTCCGAGATGAATTGTTTAACACACCTATTTCCAGCGTTCGAAAAGGGATTTTTTCCACCCCCGAGATGTGAGTTGTCCCCTCACCCCTATGTTCTATTTTCCTTTTTTTTTCCTGGTTTTTAACAAGAGAAAATCTTTTTACAATTTGATTTTTTCTTTCTTTTTGTTTTTTTTTTTTGATGCGAATTTAAAGAAGATGGGGGATCTCCGAGACTTTGGGGAAAACATACAAAAGAAGATTATCAAACATAACGAAACAAATACTTTGGAATGAATAGAGCGACAAAGTTAATAATAAGTTTGGAAAAATTTTGCGTTCAAGCAGTAAAATAATAGTTAATCAAATACTCACACACTGGTTCCGCCCGGGATCGAACCGGGGACCTTTCGCGTGTGAAGCGAACGTGATGACCACTACACTACGGAACCGACGGAGGAAGATAAATATTTAATTCAAATAAACATAACGAACAAATACTTTGGAATGAATAGAGCGACAAAGTTTTAATAAGTTTAGGAAAAATTTTGCGTTCAAAATAACGCAGCAGTAAAATAATAGTTAATCAAAATACTGACACACTGGTTCCGCCCGGGAATCGAACCGGGGACCTTTCGCGTGTGAAGCGAACGTGATGACCACTACACTACGGAACCGACGGCGGAACCGAAGATAATTATTTAATTCAAATAAACATAACGAAACAAATACTTTGGAATGAATAGAGCGACAAAGTTAATAATAAGTTTGGAAAAATTTTGCGTTCAAGCAGTAAAATAATAGTTAATCAAATACTCACACACTGGTTCCGCCCGGGATCGAACCGGGGACCTTTCGCGTGTGAAGCGAACGTGATGACCACTACACTACGGAACCGACGGCGGAAGATAATTATTTAATTCAAATAAACATAACGAAACAAATACTTTGGAATGAATAGAGCGACAAAGTTAATAATAAGTTTGGAAAAATTTTGCGTTCAAGCAGTAAAATAATAGTTAATCAAATACTCACACACTGGTTCCGCCCGGGATCGAACCGGGGACCTTTCGCGTGTGAAGCGAACGTGATGACCACTACACTACGGAACCGACGGCGGAAGATAAATATTTAATTCAAATAAACATAACGAAACAAAAATACTTTGGAATGAATAGAGCGACAAAGTTAATAATAAGTTTGGAAAAATTTTTTAATTCGTTCAAGCAGTAAAATAAAGTTAATCAAATACTCACACACTGGTTCCGCCCGGGATCGAACCGGGGACCTTTCGCGTGTGAAGCGAACGTGATGACCACTACACTACGGAACCGACGGCGGAAGATAATTATTTAATTCAAATAAACATAACGAAACAAATACTTTGGAATGAATAGAGCGACAAAGTTAATAATAAGTTTGGAAAAATTTTGCGTTCAAGCAGTAAAATAATAGTTAATCAAATACTCACACACTGGTTCCGCCCGGGATCGAACCGGGGACCTTTCGCGTGTGAAGCGAACGTGATGACCACTACACTACGGAACCGACGGCGGAAGATAATTATTTAATTCAAATAAACATAACGAAACAAATACTTTGGAATGAATAGAGCGACAAAGTTAATAATAAGTTTGGAAAAATTTTGCGTTCAAGCAGTAAAATAATAGTTAATCAAATACTCACACACTGGTTCCGCCCGGGATCGAACCGGGGACCTTTCGCGTGTGAAGCGAACGTAACGTGATGACCACTACACTACGGAACCGACGGCGGAAGATAAATTATTTAATTCAAATAAACATAACGAAACAAATACTTTGGAATGAATAGAGCGACAAAGTTAATAATAAGTTTGGAAAAATTTTGCATTCAAGCAGTAAAATAATAGTTAATCAAATACTCACACACTGGTTCCGCCCGGGATCGAACCGGGGACCTTTCGCGTGTGAAGCGAACGTGATGACCACTACACTACGGAACCGACGGCGGAAGATAATTATTTAATTCAAATAAACATAACGAAACAAATACTTTGGAATGAATAGAGCGACAAAGTTAATAATAAGTTTGGAAAAATTTTGCGTTCAAGCAGTAAAATAATAGTTAATCAAATACTCACACACTGGTTCCG